AGCCTGTGGAAGTAAGTAAACTTCTGGGAAGTCTTCAGCAGGAGGCAGCGGCATCGACAACTACCGCTCGGCGTTGTATCCCGTTATAATCACGAGGTTTGCATGTTTCGCGAGGACCCGTGCGTCTTCAAAGCCAAGCCCGTTCATCGACGTCCCAGTGATTAAGACTAAACTTATAATGCGTGAATAAATACGGTCCTTGCAGAACTCTGACCGCACCATTTTTGCCCCGTATCTGTTTAGCAAAGACCGTCGCGACGTCCTCTGCGGTGGTACTAACTGTGAATGTCGGCAGCGACGTTGGCGGGGGGAAGCACGCTGGTGGGCGCAATTGGAAAGATGACTGTGCGCGGATCGTTTAGCTGAAGACATAGAATCGCGGGCCATATGAAGACTTACCTGGTGTGGATCCACACAACCGGAAATTCGGACAGGGAAAAGGAGGCCGACGAGGAGGAGGAGGGTGTATATCGTGTATATCATCATCAAGTGTCTTTCCGTCCTTCAGTCCTATTATTGGTTTCGACGGATCTTTAGCAGAGGTCTGACTAAGTGAACTGAATAGAGGACCAGCTATGAACTGAGACTAACCTCCGCAACTGTCCAGAGAAAAAATGTACAACGCGGCGCGGGAGTCGACTCGACGTGTGAAGTCGGCGTTTGGTTGGCGTTTGGAACGGTTTGGTCGACGTGGCAGCTTTTCTCACCCACGAAAGGGAAGGTGTTTTCAGTGGCGATCTCCCAAGCACTTGGATCAGGATTTTGGTTTGGCTGTCGTCGGCATTCTTGGGACAAGGAAGCTGGAAAGGCGGTGGCCAAAGCCAATCTGGGCGGGATTGATGTCATCAAAACGGCTCTTTCCTTTCACGGCGATGGCGCTGCAACAATGGTTGTGCGTTCAGGAGCTCGTGGATCTCACCATAGACTTCCTCCATGGCTCGAAGAAGGACTTGAAGCGCTGCTCACTTGTCAGCCACTCGTGGCTCCCTGCTGCCCGGTACCACCTCTTTTCCTATGTCTCTTTGGAGGCTGGTGGTCCCATACCGCAGCACCTGCTGGACTTATTCTCCGCAGACGAATACGACCACATCCGACGGGTAATCAAACACCTTGCCATCGAGGGCCCTCCGACGCGCGGCGGGTACGATATCACCCCGCAGATGTATTCCTCCCATCTCAAACAGCTCTCGATATACACCCTCCCTTCGCCGGAAACATTTCCAGTTCTCCAGGACCTGCTTGCCCTTCCAAACCTCTCCCATATCTCGATTCTTCAAACAGAGGATTCGAAACTCTTGCGCTCCTTTTTCCTGAAACGGACTGCGAACCTAGGGACGCTCAGGGTGTCATCCAGAGTGTATGGCGGGGAGCTTGAAGGCCTCGCACCCATCACGACAGACGTTCCAATCTTCCAACTCGACTGCCTTCACATGCCGGTGTTTCTTGAACGCGCGTCCGTCGAGGTGTTCAATCTTGCCGCCGTGACACGGCTGATCATCGACGATTGCGCCGAGCTTTCGAGCTTTGCGGCGATCATGCAAGATTTCAATTCCCTCACATACTTTGAAATCACCGCCCACACGTGTAAGCGTTTTCACCCGTACAAATGCGTACTTGCCTGACGCACTGTATATAGCCGACCGACCAGGATCGGCCGCCTTTATGAAAAATGCAGACATCCAGCTACACACACTTCCTCGACTCGAGCACTTCATACTCCATATCGACCTTCCGAACACGCTCGCCGCCATACCGATCCTTTTGTCCGGACTCGAGCCCAGCGCTTCCTTGAAGCAGGTCACGCTCATCGTCAGCCGGGACTGTGCAGCGTCCTCGATGGACCTTTCGACCTTCTCCTATTCCCAGTATTGGAGCGCCATAGACGAATGCCTGGGGCGTTTGGAGGTGTCTCTCACGGTCAGAGTTAACTTGTGTTATGGAGGCGCATTGGAGAGTCCTGCGGGTGTCGAGGAGCTTCGGGGGTGCTTGCCTCTCCTTTCTAGCACGAGACGGTTACTTGTAACTGCATTCACCTAATTGTTCCAAAGACTGTACTTATGTCTGACTCGTTCCCACTGTCGTCTCACTGTCGAAGCAGAAGATACATTTCCTCGTTGTTCAAAATCTAACATCTCATCGGGCTCGTCGATATTCTGGGTGAACCGAGCCAGGTGAAGAATCAACCTTGACTTGAGAGAATATTACAATCCTCGTAGAAACATAGTACACGAGTGAGATTAAGCCGACCTATCCGCAAGTTCAATCTATTTGGGGGCAGGCAAACAGGAAGAACCGACTCACTCGGCTCTGAGCGAAGCAAAAAACGCCGAAGAATATTTCGAGTCCACGAACTCGTTCAGCTTGATCATCTTCTCGCCCTCAAAGTGGAAAGTGACCATGTACTCGTTATTGTACTTCTTCCCCGACTTGGACGTCCCGTCGGACTTGAGCTATACGATGGTGAGTCGATATTCGAAGCTATATCGAACAAAGTGCTAACGTGGAAGGCGACCTTGTTCGAGCCGTGCACCACATCCAACGGTGGCCCATACTGCTCCGCCGTCCGTCAATGGTTGGGATCGATAATTTTAAGATATGCTCAAAATACTGACCGTAACCTTATCAAAGACGTGGATCAAGTGGTGCTGCAGGACACCAATGAACTCCTCCTTTCCTCGGGTCTCCTTTCCATCCGGGGGGACGATGGTGCCCGGGAAGTACTGGTGCTGGAAGCTGGGAGCTATAAGGTCGGCGAGGGGACCCCACTCGAGCGCATTCAGGTGCTTCAAAAATGCGTGCGCGTTCTCCAGCTGCTTGGTGTCGAGGTCAGACATGGTGGAGGGAAGAGACGCCGCCGCTGGACTAAGTCTCATGACAGATCTGTACTAGCTAACCGGGGAAAACTGGCACTGAATTCAATTCTTCAAGTAAGCTTAATCGGTGATGGTCTTATCCCCGCAGGAGCACTGGCAGAAACCTCCCCAACCACACCGAGCCAAAGGCGCTCGTATCGAACATTTATCTTCCGACCGCAGGCAGAATTCCGATGACCTGTTCCTGCCCAAATTCAACCGTGGGAAGAGTATATATCGCTCGCTCGTCGATCATATTCGCGTCGCTCGCACTTATTTATGGCACATAAAATCAGGTCCTTAGGCAGTAGACGAAAGTCATGACGAACTTCAAAGGAAGACGGAGAGGCTGCACACAAGATGTTGCACGTGATCCGACGGGTCCTGGCTGAGCGCCAAACATTTGCAAAGGGCGCGCGGAGTCTGCATGGCACATTTGCTGTGCGAGCCAGCTCTGGCTTACCTCTCTGAGTCGGTGAACAATCGCATCGGCCCGATAGATGGCTAGGAGCCTCCCGCGGTACCTACCACTTTCGGAATAAGTACATAAGTACTGCGGGCGCGTTCAATTCGCGGGCGAGTCATACATCCATCAGGACTAAGTTTTTATTGCGGGTGATCTGGGGGTGCGATTACCTGAACAGGAGATTTTTGGAGCTCGTCGCCATATTCCGAGGGCTCTCAGGGCAAGGAAAGTCAACAGTGGACTCGTGTCTAACTGCGTTGTAGTACATGAATGGATTTAGGCCGAGAACATCCTTGCCCCCCTCGAGACTACACGGCCGGGGATTACCCGTTCAAACAGATCTATCGACGAGCTTGAGAGGTGTGGAGTAGAGGCAACTATAACACTCACCCAGCCTTGAGCGCGGTGACAAACGCGTTCGACTTCACGGCGTCGACAAACTCGTTCATTTTTACTATCTTCTCGCCGTCAAAGTGGAAGGTGACCATATACTCGTTGTCGTATTTCTTCCCCGACTTGGACAGCGCGTTGGATTTGAACTGGATGGACACAGACCGCGGTGAGCAATTGATTCTCGTGATTATACGGGGAGACTTAACGTGCAACGCGACCTTGTTGTGGCCGTGTATCACATCCAACGGTTCGCCGAACTGGAGGCCGGGGCTCAGGTCAATGGTTGGGAAGGACAGAGTGCGGGTAGAAGCACCAACCGTGACCTTTTCGAGAACATGTGCCCAGTTGTACTTCAAGAGGGTGAGGAACTCCTCCTTCCCCCGCATGTCCTTGTCCTCCGGAGGAATAGCGCTGGCGGGGAAGTACTGCTGCTTGAAGGTGGGCGCAATGAGGTCGCTCAGGGCATCCCACTCGCCGGGGCCCAAATGTTTTATGAATGCATAGGCGTTCTGGAGCTGCTTGCTGTCGAGGTCGGACATGTCGGGGTGAGAGGGTTGGTTCAAGACGGATCCGAGTGCGTGGTATTTAAGCCCAGCGGATTGACGACGCGTTCAATGACGCCCGGTAACATTCGAAGGCAGGATAGCGTTAGTAAGTTGCGAAACTTAGTAATTTACTTTACCCGGGATTCAACCGTGGGAACGCCGCCTCCGCTCACAGGTCGAATTCGCGTCCATCGACGAGCTCACACGGGATTACCGCTATCACCTGGTAAACTCCAATAACCCGACTGGGTAACACGGTCTGGATTAATGTGGAATGGAGCTGCATCCATACCTTACCTTTCGCTGTACTTGACCGCGTCGCCGCCTCCGCCTCCGCCCCCGCCTTTGGAACTAGTCGGCCAAATAAAAATCATCAACATGTACTAGGACCCAGCGTGGAATCGAACCAGGGCCTCTAGACACAGACGGTTGCCTACAAGATGCAACCGTGCTCCAGATCTGTGCTGAGTAGACTCGTCCGGCAATAATAGCCGTGAGCAAAGATGTCCTCATGTTGAACGCCATCCGTCGGACGAGATTGTGAGGCTCATGGAGTACTATGAGTGCGGCAGTGGTTTGGGGTCTTGGGAGAGAGAGAGCACCTGTAACAAGTTGAACCAAGCGACTAAACAGACGCTGCAACAAAAAAACTCTCGTACCTCCAATGTTGTAGCGATGAACCGAGTCCATAGAGCGAGTAAACATCACCCCCTAGGCAGAAAAAAGGCTTCATGTTAGCATTTATGACCCAGCCGGGATTCGAACCCGATCTTTTGCCTGACCGAACACAAGTTGAAGGGCCCAAATCGAGCAGACGCACACCATTGTGCTGCCGAGTCTACTTCGTTTATTCACTCGCTAGCCACATATACATTGAGCTGAAGTCAGCACTCAAGAGTTGGCGCGCCTGCGAGATATTGGGTGCCTTGAACGGCGTGTCTGATGAAAAAAAGTGAACTGGCGGCAGGGTGCCGTGTCAAAAAAAAAGAAGAAAAAAAAAGCTATACATGCTGCATTATGACCCACCCTGGAATCGAACCACTGGCATTGGAAAGGCATGGCAAATATAGGCCATGCCCTAGGTCTGTTTTGTGAACAGCTCAGCTTCCGTGTTAGTGGGTGGGCGTGAACATGACCAAGTTGAACATCCGACGTGGAGCAAAACTCCGCCTTGAAGTGAAATTCCCCTGGGCAGGTGGAGTCGTGGTTCAGGAGCAGTGTGGGGTCTTGAATGAAGTGAATGGGTGGGTGCCTCTAGCGCCGGGGACTCCAACACCACGTAGACCCACAACTGGAAAAAGATAAACCCAGACTACATTACATAGGACCGAGCCTGGAATCGAACCACTTGACTCCCGGTACTAGTGCTGCATGGGCGCGTGCATCGGGCTCAGGCTGCTCGGTCGTCGACCCCTTTAATGAATAAGTTGGTAGACGGAGTCCCGGAGGAAGAAATGTCACAGACCTGATATAATTCGAACGATTCCGCGTTTGAACCAAAAATGTTATCTCCGATCGCAAGATATATAACCCAGCCTGGAATCGAACCAGGGTTCCCTGCATGAAGGACGCGTTCGGAAACATCACAATCTGCAGGGGCACACCGTGTGCTGCTGGGTCAGTACTCACTGCGTTCCCCGAGCCCCAAGGCAGCGAGAGTCTTGCTCGGGCTTGCTCGGCCTAGATACCAAGACCGCGGATAGCCACCTCTGCCTTGGTACCAAGGCATCGAGGCCTTGGTACCTAGGCCGAGCAAGGCCGAGCAAGGCAACCACTGCCTAGGGACTGAGGGAATGCAGTGACTATGCTTTCGTTCGTTCGTTTTTAGGTAGGGGGAAATGGGGAGGTTAAAACCAAAGCTGCCTGCAGTGCTGCGTTGATCGCTCTGCACCTGCGCACTGTGGCTAATGCTCCGGATATCCGCCCAGACTTGAGGCCGCTCCTAGGTCGACGGTCGAGTCGCACACTGTCCTATGGACGTTTTTCGATTCAGGTGATTCAAGTCGTCCGCAACTTGCAGGTTGAAAACACATTCGGAACTGGAACAAAATAAACTTACTTAGTGCAGAATGCACAACTAAGACCCAGCTTGGCGTCGAACCAAGAGTCTTCGCAGCTTCAGCGTTCAACAAGGGCGTGAGCGAACTTGGCAGCCTGCAGCGCGCCCTTTGCTCTGGGTCTGTATTATTGCCTGAAATCAAGCGAAAGAAGCCAAACCTTAGACTTGCGCATTGGTTAGGACTGCAACGCTTCGTCGGGCTGCGTCGAAACATGTTTGAGTGAGAGGGTTGTGCAATGGTAGAGGTTAAAAAGATCGACTGCCTCAAGACTGAGGTCCCAAGCCTGGAATCGAACCAAGTCTCACCGCTGCACTGGTCCCAGGGCATCTGCGCCCAAGTTAAACAGGCTGCTAGGTCTTCATTCGGAGGTGATACTCGGTAGAAGCTGATCATGAGGGATTCCACCGTGACAGACCTGAGGGCGGTCGCAACGGTCGGAACGTCAAGTCGGACACGAAGCTAGTAATGTTTTTTTTCGGTTATGGGCGTAGCAGCCATATGTTCTGTTGCAAACGCACTCGGACCTGGGACCAAAGAAACATCGAATGTCAGACAAAAGAAAAGTTCTGAGGACCGAAAGACCCAGCTTGGAGTCGAACCAAGAGTCTCCCGTCGCGAAAACTGCACTAAAGGTGGACAATTAATGAGGGAGGCACGCCGTGGGTTCTGGGTCTGTATCACTGCCTACTGTGTTCGTTAATAGGCAGACTAAAATCGAGCGAAAACAAAACACACTGTGAATCAAATAAGCCGGAATTTCCGCCAGACTGCAAACGAAACACAGTGTTTGAGAATTCTGGGGTATGCTGCCGCGCCGCGCCGCAGGGTCCTCGAGTCCTGCGTCGAGACGGCTTAGCTCTAGACGGGAACTTAACGCGGGGTCAAATCGATGCCATTTGGCTTCAACGAAGCCTTGTCGCAGTGAAAAAAGTCGACACTTCCCATTGTATGACCCAGCCTGGAGTCGAACCAGAAACTGCTCAAACGAACGGCAATTACGGCGAAATGGGAGCAGACGCACACCCTGTGCACCGGGCCTTTAACGCTGTCCGGTTTGTGCCCGCTAAGTACACGAGCGAACCATTGCAGTCGAAATGATGGATGTTGAGAGCAAGGAGCGGGGCGTGCGAATTTGGTGGAGGCGCATCAATTCGGCGTCTTGCTTGCTTTTGACCACCAACCTGGCTTTCGACCAGTCCGCGTCTGTAGCGCCCAACAACACCAAATCAACGCTCACAAGATATCTCACCTCCCAAATCGAATTCAAGCGCTCGGTGCCCGAGACCCCTCGGTCCTCGGTCCTCCAAATCCAACGTCATGACCTTGCCACTGACAGGTCTGCGAACTCATAACGGTTGCGTGTTTTGTCCCCAGTGGGTGCGTCAAGCCTCAGCGCGCACCCTCTGCTCGGTACGTTGTATTAGCTTCCCTGCTGTAGCTTGCCTTTCTCTTTGGTGAAAGCTCCCATGGCTTACGATTCGATCTTGCCTTCATCGTCCCTTCCCTCACGTTGCCATCATTCTACCGCCATACACACCTACTCCCTATGCCATCTGGATAGACGCTGACCTGCTTTGTTACAGATACTCCTCGCTCCGACCAACCGCTCGATGCCAGCGACGTGTTCTTTACGGAATCTTGACCTCGGGGCCTTCACTTTCTTCAGGTCCTCCGCTTCACACTCTGCAAAAGTACTCTGGCATTGTCGTCACCCACCTCTTGTCCTCCATCCCTTCCTTGCTTTACACCACTTCTTCACCCATCCCTCCCTCGCTCTACAACACTTCTTTACCCATCCTTCCTCGCTCTACACCACTTCTTTACCCATCCCTTCCTCGCTCTACACCACTTCTTTGCCCATCCCTTCCTAGCTCTACACCACTCCTCTCCGCCTCCTTCCATCGCCGTCAGCTATGTCTTATCGGCCCGTGTCTGCACTTCTCCATATTGCCCTGTCCGCACCTTGACTCTTCTCTCGTCCTCCTTCGCGTATTCGGCCTCCTCTCGGCGTTGTCTGGTCTGCGGTACGCTCCTTTGTCGTCGCTGCGGGCCACATTTTGCCCTGCTCTCCTCTCTGCGCTCGTCTTCTGCCGCGTCGTCCTCGCGTCATTCACCGACTCCCCTCTCAATCCCCGCTCTGTCGTCAAGCTCCAGCAGCGACTCTCCACCTCCATCCTCAAGAAGTTCTCCTGCACCCCCCTCATCAAGCCCCTCAATCTTCTACGACTTCATCGCCTCTTCTGCGCTTCTCTTCACCTCCCCCACCATCGAATTCTGCTGCTGCGGTCCTCAAGCACCCCCAATCTCCGGCGACTTCTCCCGTCGAGCTCTCCCAGCGGCATCGCGCATCGTCATCAGCTCTCTCGCGTACCTGCCAGGGTCGCGTTCTGCTGCACCCGCTTCCTACTTACCTCCACTCCTCGGTCGGATGCCGACTCTCCCGGTCGCGCCCTTCGTCGTCGGTCGCCGTTCTGCACCCCCCACCACCATCGAGTTCAGCTGCACCCGCCCGTCAAGCGCCCCGCTCAATCTCCGACAACTTCCTTCACCCCCGAGCTCTGCCAGCGGCCTCGCCATGCACATCCGCTCTCCTCCGTACCCATTCGCGTCCTGCTGCACCCGCATCCTCCTCCTACCCTCCTCCTACTTGCCTTCGCCCACTTCCCCCGACACTCTTGATCGCGTCCCTCATCAAACCCCGTCAGCTCTTCCCCTCCACCACTATCAAGTTCCGCTGCGCCCGTACCCCGTGCCAAGCACCCTCGATCGCCCGTAGAGCTCCCTCTCCCGGACCCACCAGGGTCATCAGCCGCGTCTCGTCCTCGTCTTCCTCGCGGCACTCAAGGCCCTCACCCTCTTTGCCATGCTCGTCCACCGCCTCCACTCATCCATCCCCTCCCCCACGCACCTTCCGCAGCCCCTCGCGCCCACCGCCTTACATCCCCGGTATCATAACCCCCAGAACGCTCGCTCATCTGTGTGCCAAACACGATCCCGTCCCGTGTCATCACCCATACATACATGCGGGTTTCCACCCCGCCCTCACACCTCTCCCAACGCTAACACTCGCTCTGGCTCACACCTCTTTCTTCGCCTCATCGACGCCTCTTTCTTCGCCTCATCGACACCGTCGTCCCCGTCTTCACCCTCGGCGTGTCCACTTCCGCCTGGCCCGCCCTGCGCCCTGCGCCCGTGCGTTACCTGGTCAAGCAACTTAGCAAGCCTCTTTCACCCGCCGCCGCTCGTTCCTTCGCAGATGTACGGACGCGCGCGGCACGACATTGACCTGCGACTACCCAAAGAGACCTGCTGTACTTCTTGGGTATGTGTACGGGCGAGGCAGAAGGAAGGGTGTTCTGGGAGACGGGAGTAAGACGGAGAGTAGGGTCGTCGACCAAGTCGCTCGACGTCGTATCGATAGCGCTAGTTTTCAAATAGAATTTCGATTTACATTCATCTAAACCTCCGCGCGCGCCCCCTCCTTCGCCCCCTCCTGTACATCCTGCTCCAATCGCACCTCCGCCTTTGGTCGACTCTGCTGTGCCTCCACCAACGCCCGCTCCATCTCCCACGCCGCCTTCCTCTGCTTGCGCTTCCTCGCCTCGTCCGTCCACGCCCCCGTAGGCTGCGTCCTCCGCATCAGCGCGCCGTGAATACACAGCGCCCGCCGTAGCACAGTCGTCACCGGCCCCCACGCCGCGCCCCCCTCCTCCGCCTCCCTCGCCCGCCTCTCCCTCTCCCGCCCACCACCACCACTACTCGGGGGCGGGTGCGACAGC